AGTCACGGTGTTGAGGTGCCAAAGCAGGTCCCAGCAGCAAACCTGGAAGAGCCTGGGGGTGAACGGGAACATGCAATGCACTGATGAGCAGGGCAGAGATCAAATCAATAACAGGAAAAGTCACCAAAATAGAAGTTTTGGAAGGTTCCAAAACTGTTTGTGAAGGGGCCAAATTTAACTAATAGCCTCAGCCAAAACAGAAAATAATTAGAAAAACATTGAAACATGTCATTTTTAGTTCTTCTTTTCTTATTTTTCTAACTGAAACATTTCACTTCAGGAATGATGAAACATTTTAGTCGCAGCAGGATCTTGGAGCCTTTGTCCCAGCAAAACAGAAATGTTTATTCAGTTTGTCACTTACCAACTGAGTTAAATGTCAGGAGGTAGTCTCAGTGTTGCTTTTTCATGTAAAAATAAAGTCAAAAACATAGAAGAGATTTTATCCTGTAGTTCAGGGCACTAGAAGAGGCCAGCATCTTTCCTAAGTCCTCAACTCCCCTGACATCCCAACAGAGGACCAAGCTGCTGAGGATTTTCCAGCTTGCAGGGAGAAGTGACAAGGTGACCTCAGGTGACAGAGATTAGAAGAGAAGGGTTGCTCCCGGGATCCCATCCCCCAACCCAAGGAGCTGTCCCAAAGTGGTCCTGGGAATGGCAGGATCAAAGGAAGGCTGAGGGGGACATTAAAAAGCCCCCCAGAGCTCCCAGAATGGGACAACTGGGACCTTCCCCTGCTTCCATGCTCAAGGGTGCTGGGGAAAGCCACATCCTGCCTCTTCCATCACGCAGAGGGGCCTCTGCCAAGAAATCAGCCTCTCCCATGACTGGTGCCTTGGCTTTGCCTTATTTTAGGGTCTGATGAAAAGACTTGGGGTCTTCTCCAAGCTTTACTAATGAAGGGCTGAGTGCCACAGCCAAGAAGCTCAGGATCCCATGCTGCTCCCACCACTCCCCCATGAGCCCAGACATCCCGCACATTTCCTTCCTCCATTAGAAATCCCTGCCCACACCCCACATATATCTTGCGGATCCAAGGGCTCACCACCACAGTTTATCATTGAAGTTTCAGGAACCACCGTTCCTGCCACAGGTGGTACGATATCCACAGCAGACCCTGAACTCCAGTCCCCTTCCAGTGCACTGACAGCTTGCCCCAAAAACCACACCAGCCTTGGTCTGAGCAGCTTTCAAACTAGCCAAGAGGGAACTACGGCAAGAGATTTTTGTAAACGCCATTACACAATTGTCTGCCTGAACCAAAGCCTGGGCTCAGCCATTTATAAGCATTTTTGAGGAGCACACCCCATTTCCAGAGTGTCCCACCACAGGTCTTCTTGGGACAGACAGTGACACAGTGGCTTTTGGGGCGTTGGTGTGGGGTATGGAGACCCCAGCATGTGTCCACATCAACCACCAGCTGCTGGGAGGAAACCAAGACCCAGTGATTATAACAGGGAGCGAATTGGGAGCTGGGGCATGAAACTAGAGAGGGGAAACATTTAAGCTTTAATCTTGGAAACGGCTTCCTGATAGTAGATTTATGAGCAATGGGAATAGTCTCCTTTGCAGAAGGCTGGAAGCTCCATTGAACCAGGCTTTAAAAACAAGACTGGATAAAAGAGTAGACAATAGACAAGAGGAATGGATTGTGCTTTGACCATAAGATGGATAGGACCGGATGGTTCACTTCCAGCTCCAGCCAACCCTGCCCATACATCAGTGGCAAATCTCCCACCTGACCTCTGTGACATTTGCCTATTTATGTGATTAACCAGCAAAGGTTGTCAGAACAGCACAGCACCACTACAAAAGGCAGCCAAACAAAGGTGACCAGCCCAAATTTCTATCCCTGCTCTCACCCCACTGCAGCTGCAGAGGTGACCTCTTGGGGCTGCTGCAGAACCTCATTTTTCAGCTAACGCCCGGGTGTAATAGCCAGAACCAGGGGCTTGACACATCCGACTTTTGTGCAGGAGCCTGTGGAAGGGGTATTTTCATTAATACATGTGTCTTGTTTAGCTTGGACGCTGCAGTAGCTGAACTTTTTCTGACTTAGTTCTCCCTCTATATATATATATCACACTTTCCTGTAATCAACCTTTCCTTTTTTCCTGACTTGGCCTTTCCCAGTGAGTTCTTAGGTTTTGGCTTTCTTCAAAGCTGCTTTAGTGCTGCTGAAGGATGTTGAAGTGACAGCTCTGGCAATCCAAGCACTGTACTCACCCATGAAAGCCATCCAGCTGAGGCAGCCACAACATGGGATTCACAGCTCCTCACTCCCCTGGTCCCGCTTCCACCTCAGCCTGATCATGGCAAGGGGTGAAAAAGCTAAAGCAGCCAAGAAGCTCCACACCTCACAGACTCCCAACTTCTTCATATACATCCTGTAACATCCACAGGTAAACATCAGGCTGCTGAGCTGTGTGGCTCAGTCCCATGACATTGGGCAACTCTGGGAACACACAACACACACACACACCCCGCAGCTGGCTCTGATTCCATGCCCAAGAGGCCACAGCAGAGCTGGCAACCCCAGGGGCTTCATGCTCCATGCTCAGACCCTTCGCCACAGTCCGTTGGGAAGCCTGCCCAAGGCTCAGCCTCATAAAACCACCCAGCCAGTGCCCTGAGAATGGATTAGATGCGCAAGTCTGTGACCTCAGCTGAGTACAGCAAGTCAAAAGCACTCTGACTCCAGGCTTATTGCCCCACAAAAACATAAGTGAAATCATTTCATTAATCCCCAGGGCCCCATTTCCTTCCTTCCTTCCCTCAGCCAAGCCGAAGCTTAAAATAGCATTTCGCATTCCTCATATTTCACTCCAAAGCTAATTAATACCCAATCAGCCAAAAACTCTTCTCACAACAGCCTGGCTTGATCATACAACCTGCCCACCCTTGGCAACAGCAAAAGCACTCTACGGGGCTCCCAGCTCCTCCCAAAAGGCATTTCTGACAAGCATCTGGAGAGAACTGCTCTAAGGCAGCAAAAAAACAGGAAAGCAGTGAAATTAAAGCCCCACATGCAATCTTACCTCTGTCCCACGTGCACACACAACTCTTATGTGCCCATAAACAAACTCACACTGTTTTCATTCCCCAACACCACAAGCACGGCTGCTCTTCACCAGGTTCTAGCAGCCCCTAAAGGCAAAGACACAAGTTACCTTCTGCCTCCCCTTATTGGCACCTGCACTGCAATGCAGGGCTGAGACTGCGCTCCTGTCTGTTTTTCTGTGTGTGGGGAAACAAAGAGGCAATTTTTAATTCAGCTAAAAGAGCCTGGCAAAACCCTCCGATTCAGGGCAAGAGACAGGAAAGAAGATGGAGCAAAGGTCTTTTTTCATTTGGACTTCACAGCTATTCCTCACCCTCTCAGTAGCCAAGCATGAGTCAAACAACAAGGCTGTGCAGATGATGGAGTGTAACTGCAAAGTCTCATGCGAGTCTCAGCTGGGCAGGAAACTGCAGCCAGGAGAGCTCCAAACACATCATCCCCTGAGATATCGAGCCCCTTGCTACAAGATCTTTTTTCCTCGAGGCTCATGCACACCTGGCACAGGCTGAGAGAATCACAGATGAGGCACTGGCTGTATCTGGCATGCAGGGACGTAGTCTAGTGGGAGGTGTCCCTGCCCAGGGCAGGGGATTGGAACTGGATCATCTTTAAGGTCCCCTCCAACCCAAACCATTCTATACCTATGGGCCAGAAGAAGCTGGTCTCATGTGTCCCAAACACATGGGGAAGATATGGCAGCTATAGGGGAGGGAGCAGCTGTCACCAAGTGCCATCTCACACCAAACACCCCACACAACATGTCACTTTTTCTGTCCGAACTTGCACCCACAGACCAAATACAAGGACAGACTTCATACTCCAGCCAGTCTCATGAGCACCAGCCCTTGCTCGCTGCATTAGCAGGAGTCTCATTAATGCAACCATCAGGAATATGTGGCAGCACCAAGATCTGGACTGAGTTTTGTGTTGGCTACAAACCTCAGTCCCCAGAGACATGGTGGCTCCTCCAATCCATTCTGCAGTCTGTCCACAGCAGGAGGAAGGCATGATGGCACACAGCAAAGCAAGAGCAAAGACCAGTTCTTCCCATGGGGCACCAACAGTGGAAATACAAAGCCCTCTCGCTCCTCAGCTAGACTGAGCTTGAAAATGTTTCCAAAAAGCAATATGGAAAAATCCTGTTACCAGTGCAGCTGCAACAGAATTCTGCCCACAGGACAGCTCTGTGCAATGGGAGATGGCTGATCCCCTCAGTTTAGGCTGAGCACCAAGCAACCAGGCCTTGCATTTACTGCTGAAAAAACCAAACCCAAATACCCACACCATGTGCCCTGCATCTCTGCAGAGAGGTTCATCTACTCCAGCTGACAGCTATGAAGAAGCAGAAGAGCCTGACTCTCTCCCCCAAATCACAGAACCCCTCAGAGATCTCAAGATGGAGAACTGCAGGTATTTTTTTCCTGTCCCTCAAGCCACACTGAACCCTGCTCCCCTGGGACAGCAGCTGGCATTAATCCTGGATCCCTCACAGGTCACCACCCTGGAGGTGCTCCAAAATAGAAGCCCTGAGGAGCCACAACACGGGAGGACGCCTCTCCCTGGTGGAAGGGCAACGCACCCACCTCCCCTCCCCACTCGGGCAGGCCCTCACCAGGGACCCGCTGCCTCCACGGCCAGCCCCTGCCTCTGGCCCCCCCACAGCAGACAGGCCCCGGGCCCTCCCCAGCACACACAGAGAGTTCGGAGCCTCCCACAGCCGAGCGGACACGGCCCTCGGCGGCACTGCGACCCCTCACTGAGCCCGGGCGGGCACCCCATATAACCTAAGCAGCAGAACACACAGCCCTCCCCAGCCCCGCCCGCCGCTGTGAGGCGGCCTGCCCTCCGCCGGGCCTCTTATATCCGCCCCGTCGGGCTCGCGGCCCCCCGCCCCCCATCACGTGATCGGGCCGCGCCCCTCGCGTCACGCCCACGTGCGGCAGCATGGCGGCGGCGGTGGTGGCGGGCGGGGTGGCGCCTGTCCGTGCCAGGTGAGTGCGGGCCCAGGGCTGTCCTGGCCCCGACCCCGACCCACCGCCCCCCCCCGGGACGTGCCCGGCCCCTCCATAGCTCCCTC